GGATGGAAATATGTGAATTACCAGATGGAGAATTCACAATACCCACCGTAAGGATGCTTAATGAATTTAAAACTCTTGGTTTTGAGGTTTGAATTCAGGGCCTTGTACTTTGGCTCTATCACTTGAGTCATACCCCACAGCCCTTTTTTGCTTTAGGTATGTTTCAAATAGGTTCTTGCATTATTGACAGGTCAGTCAATCTTGCTCCTAAGTAAAAACATTTTGAAAGATGAAGAATCATTTGTGAGGTCTACTAGAAGGTATTTCAAATGCCCCCAAACAGTTATCAAATACCATGTAGGTAGATATGGATTGCTGATCCCTCAAATTATGTTTTTCTTATGTTTTATATTATTAACCAATGATATCTGCTAGGAGAGAGAGAGATAATAGTAAAGACATGGAGAAACTGAAACCCTTGTATAGTGTTTGTGGGAGTCCAAAATGGTGCAGTAATTATGGAAACCAGTAGAAATACCTTAAAAAATTAAAAATAGAATTACCATACAATTCATCAAACCCATTTCTGGGTACATATCTAAGAAAGTTCAAAGTAGTTCTTAAAGAGATATTTGCACATTCCTATTCATCACAGCTTATTACAAAGAGCCAGGGGAGGAGCAACAAAAGAATGGAAAAAGATGTGTGTGCACATCATGGGATTTTATACATCCTTAAAAAGGAATGAAATCTGGTCACAAGCTACAGAATGAGTGAGTCTCGAGGACATCATGAAGTAAGCCAGTCACAGAAGGACAAATGCTAAGTGACTCAAATGATATGAAGCATCTAAATTAGTCAAAAATCATAGAAACACAAAACAAAAAGTTTTCCAAGAGCTGGATTTACTTGGAGAGGGAAATAGTGTTAGAGAGTTTCAGTGTTGGAAGAGGATAAAGTGAAATATGATCTAGCTGTAGAAAGAATTGAATCCTGCCATGGAGCATGTGGAAATAGGCCAGACATAGAAAAGACAAATACCACTTCCACTTATTTGAGGAAACTAAAAAGTTGAGCTCATGGAAGAACACAATGGAATTACTGGTGACTAGACACAGGGAAGGACAGGAGGTAGTGTGGATGGAAAGAAGTTAGGGGCACCAAAATTTTGCACAGCACAGTAGGGCAACTATGGATTGTAGCAGTCTATGATCCATATATATATATATATGTATATATCTATATTATATTATATAGTATATATATATATAATATATAGTTTTAACTATTATATTTTTAATAATCTATATAGTTTTAAATATATCTATATAGTTTTAAATATATATATAGTTTTAAAATATATAGTTTTTTAAAATATATATATAGTTTAAGTATATGTATTTAAAAACTAGAAGAGTATTGCGGTTTCACAACACATAGACACATAGAAATGTTGAGGAGTGGAATTTCTTAGTACCTTGGATCATTACACTGTATACATGAATTAAATTATATTATATCCCATAAAATGTGCAACTAGTATATGCAATAAAATAAAGTGAAGATAAATACAAAAAGAAAAAGTTCTAGAGAATTTGCTTTACAATGTGAATATGCTTAATAGTACTGAACTGCACACTTAAAGTTATTAAGATTGCTCACACCTGTGCTACTTGGGAGGCTGAGATCTGGAGTATTGCAGTTCAAAGTCATCTTGGACAAATAGTTCATGAAACTCCCATCTCCAAAATAACCTGAGCAAAATGGACTGGAGATGTAGCTCAAACGAGGTGCCTGAATCAAACCCTGTATTCCCCCCTCCCGCTACACACACGCAAAAGGTGAGGATGATCTTATTTTTACAATAAAAAGGACTCAAGCTAAGAAAGCAAATAGGCAAAATCACAGAGTAGTAAAACACATTTACAGAGCCTACATCTAAAAGTGGACTTCTGTCCAGAATGTATAAAAACCATAACTCAATGTCATACAACCAAACAGCTCAATAAAAAATGTAGATGACAGACTCAAAAAATATTCAAAATTAAGATAACGATGTGACAATAAACACATGAAAAAGTGCTCAACACCATGTCAGCAAAAGAAGACAAATTAAAACCACAATACACATCACTTCATACCCACTAGATGTCTAAAATTAGAACTCCTGCCAAACTCAATGTCAGTAGAGTCTTTGACATGACTGAAACCCCATCATTGCTTTAAATGTGTGAAATATGACAAACAACTGCTTTGGAAAGTTTGGCTGTTTCTTATAAAATTAAACATACAACTAGCCAATACTTACTTATTTATTCAAAGAGAATGAAAATATATGCCTATGAGGAGACTGGTGCATGAATATTCACAGAAATCTTACATTCAAGCCAAAACTGGAAAACAAGCCTGTCTATGAAAGAGGAATAGCTTAAACAAAATTACAGAAGTGAACACATTCTTGCATAAAAACAAACCTGTGAATACATGTACAATGCAGAGGTCTACAAACAACATTATGCTAATTGAATTTGATTGAGTTGCATCCTATTCAAACCAGACAAAAATAATGATTGGTGATAGATAACATTCATGATTTTGGATCTGTAGGGGGGCAGACTTTACTGAGAAGGAAGGTATAAAGGCAGATTTACAGGCAATAAACATGTTCTATAAATGATAGGAGTGTAGATATACAGGCTATAACATTAGCAAAACTCATTATAAATGATTTTAAAGGAATACACTAAGTGTAGCTTAATGGTTGCATACTTACCTAGCTTTCACAAAGTTCTGGTATTCCTCCGTAGCACTGAAAAAAAAAAGATGAGACAT